ACTGCCTGCCGCCGGCGCAACGCCCGCTGCGGCCGGTGCAGCGCCGAACATGCCACAGACGGGTGCGTGCGCGATCCCACTTGCGCTGGCTGCGGCGGCCCTCACTCAGCCTGGGACCGCCACTGCCCCATCCAGCATGACGCCAGAGAAAGGCACCGCGACCAAGTGCGCGCCCAACGGGAAGAGCACCGGGCTCGGGGCCGCCACCCCAGTGCCCCACTCTGGGCACCGGCTCTGGATGATCGTGAGTGGCCGGCCCTCCCGACCCGCGACACACAGCCCCGCTCCGCCGCCGCCGCGACGTCAGCGCCGAAGCCGCCGCCGCCGCCTCGCCCGACCGCCGCCGCCGCCGCCGCCGCCGCCGCCGCTGCCCCGATGCCGGCACCCGGACCGCGCCCGCTCATGGACCCCTGGGGCGCAGTCGAGCCGAGCCGCGCCAAAACTCTGTCCACCCCCACCCAGGCTACGCCCACTCAGAGCGACGACCCAGCAGACGACGACGAGCCGACACCACGCGATCCCCACCAATCGCGACACACCACGGGCTCTCACTCTCCGAACAACCCCCGCGCTGCGACCCCAGTGTCGGAAGCCGATACTATCCCCTTGGAGCTTGCTGAGTCCGACTCAGAGAACGACCGAACGATCGTCAGCGCCCCCTCCCTTTGCGGTCACCCTCCACCCCTCCCCTCCAGCGAGGACTGTCCGAGCCGATCACGGGCGAGGACTACGATCGCCTTCAAGCGCGGCCCCTAACCCGCTCGGTCACAAAGCAGGATTTTAATAGAACCGTCCGGAGTCGGAGTAGGAGTCGATTTTTGAAGCCGGAGTCGGAGTCGGAGTCGGAGTCACCCTAAAATCCATCGACTCCGCAGCCCTGGTTTAAAGCTTTCTTGTTGCTTCAGTTGCTTCAAGGTCCTAAATACAGTTGCTTGTCTTTCTTTCTAATAGAAATGGACCTCGACTCAGCCGATGCACTTTTGTCGTTTCTGTAAGACGCATCAGGTTAGATATTAAAGTCGTCTCCATGGAAGCTTATTAACTTATTTACAATTAGTGTTTTCTATTTTTGCTTGATTTTGCGAAGAGTTCAAAATACGTCGCTAGGCGTATACGTCGCTGTTCGTATACGCAAAATGCGTCGCTAATTACATTAATAAATGTGCTCAGTGTATGTGTTGCCTGTGTTATATGTAGGTATCTGGCCATTCCTATGAAATGTGTCTTCGCAATCGCAAGATGCGTATTCAGTGATGACGCCCCAGGTGCGGCCGTCCCTGCCGTGGCTGCCCCTGACACGGTCGCCCTTGCCACAGCCGCCCCTGCTGCTATACCGTCCATGCCCATTAGGGTGTCCCAAATTTCACGAAGTTTTCCAATTCACTTAGGATACACCGGGATCCCGTTCCTTGGTTCATTTGAACCTCGCACACCAATTTATAGTGTAAACTACCGGTAAACAAGGTTGCCGCTAGTGCTCTGAAATTTTGTTTGCATTTTGGTGTTATATGATAGTGCAGCGTTGTAGTCTCCGAATGCAAAATGGGAAATATGTGTAAGCAACGTAGCAATATTACCTTCTCCGATGCTCAATGATGCTCAGATCCCACGCACATTGCACAATGATGAATATCCGGGTATATGTACGCATACATACGTGTGTAACTGTGTGTGCGCGTGCCCCTATGCCTCCGTGCGTGTGTGTATGTGTGTCTGTGTGTGCGGGCGCGCGACTGCGTGCGTGCCTACTGAGAGAAGGCAATGCCCGTTTTAATATTGGTGTGAGTGATCTTTTAATCTTCATGTGCCGCTGATTTTGTTAAGGAGTAAGTGATCAAATAAAGGTATCAGGTTGTTACTTCAAACGTCTCGCTTCAGTTCGAAAAGTCTGAGGCAATGGCGCACCACATAAACGCAGATTGAACAGAATCAAATTTACATTGCAGCTATGGGTATTGAGTTCACCGTACCCTGTCCTGAGACCGTCCACGCGTAACATCACTGTACCCTGCTCCGAGATCCGTCTAAACAAATATCATGCCTTGCTCTGAAAACCGTCTGAAACATCGTACCCTATTCTGAGATGCGTCTAAAACATCGTACCCCATTCTGAGATCCGTCTTAAACATCATACACTGCTCTGAGATCCGTCAACAGCATCGTGCCCGGCTATAAGATCCGTCTAAAATATCGTACCCTGCTCTGAGATTCGTCTAAAACATCGTATCCTATTCTGAGATCCGTCTTAAACATCGTACACTGCTCTGAGATCCGTCTAATACATCCTACACTGTTCTAAGGCCCATCTACACTTTACAGTCTACACAATACACATAACGTCATCGCACCTTGCTAAATATCTGTCTACCACTACAGACCCACGTGGTCCTTCTTCGTGTGACCGTAAAGCGACCTGTGCCATGCCACCACCTGGGCCAGCGCCTGCAACTGGTCCTCATCTTTCGTTCTGTCCATCATCTCCTGTGCCAGCTTCACTCCGCGATCCGCTCCATCATTCACAACTGCCAGGCTGTTGACGTATTTGTGAACTGCGTTGTAACTGCATTTTTTTGACAGGCTCTTGCAACCATTCGAGGGCGCACTAATCCAGAATCTGGATGAGTGCGCCCTCGAATGGTTGCACAGGGCACCCGGCTGTGAGAATCATAGGCATTAGGCACTCATCCATAATATGGATGAGTGCGCCCTCGAATGGTTGCAAGGGCCTGTCAAAATGGAAAAGTATCTCAGGTTACAACGCAGTTCACAAATACATCAACAGCCTGGCAGTTGTGAATGATGGAGTGGATCGCGGAGTGAAGCTGGCACAGGAGATGATGGACAGAACGAAAAATGAGGACCAGCTGCAGGCGCTGGCTCAGGTGGTTGCATGGCACAGGTCGCTTTACGGTCACACGAAGAAGGACGTTACATGGGTCTGTAGTGGTAGACAGATATTAAACAGGGTTTTTTTAGATGCGATGACGTTACGTGTAGACCGTAGAGCGTAAATGGACCTCAGAACAGTGTACGATGCTTAAGACGGATCTCAGAATGGGGTACGATGTTTTAGACGCATCTCAGAATAGGGTACGATGTTTCAGACGGTTTTCAGAGCAAGGCATGATATTTGTTTAGACGGATCTCGGAGCAGGGTACGGTGATGTTACGCGTGGACGGTCTCAGGACAGGGTACGGTGAACTTGATACCCATAGCTGCAATGTAAATTTGATTCTGTTCAATCTGCGTTTATGTGGTGTGCCATTGCCGCAGACGGTTCGATCTGAAGGGAGACATTTGAAGCACTAACCTGAGACCTTTATTTGATCGCTTACTCCTAAACGAAATCAGCGGCACATGAAATCACCCATACCAAGATTGAAACTGGCATTGCCTTCTATCCGGTAGGCACGCACGCAGTCGCGCGCGCGCACACACACACACACATATACACACACGCACAGAGGCATCGGGCACGCACACACACAGTTTCACACGTATGTATGCGTACATAAGCCCGGATTTTCATCATTGTGCAATGTGCGTGGGATCTGAGCATCACTGAGCATCGAAGAAGTTAATATTGCTACGTTGCTTACACATATTTCCCATTTTGCATTCGGAGACTACAACGCTGCACTATCATATAACACCAAAATGCAAACAAAACTTCAGAGCACTAGCGGCAACCTTGTTTACCGGTAGTTTACTCTATAAATTGGTGTGTGAGGTTCAAATGAACCAAGGAACGGGATCCCGGTGTATCCTAAGTGAATTGGAAAACTTCGTGTAATTTGGGACACCCTAATGCCCATCCACGGCTTGGCCGCCCTGGAGGGCCTGGGCACCCCAGCCGCGCCCACCACGGACGGCACCAGGGGGTGTCTAAGTCTAGTAGGAAAATCTGGCAAATTCCCTGCGTGACGTCACGTCGGGGATGACCGACGGCACCTTGCACTGAAAGATAGGTACGGCAGAACGGCTATTTTTGAAAAATGATTAAAAATACTTTTGTGCTGTTATGACGCATAAAACGCTTATCAGCATGTTCCTCATCATGTGATAAAGGCATATCCGTGGTCGAAAATAGCTGAGCCCCTCCCAATTTCCAACCACCGACCTCATAAGCAAAGGATGTAAGCGTAATCCTTAAGGGCGACTTTCCTATACATATCCGTACATGTGCGTCCTTATGGAAATCGGTAGTGTGGCGATTGGCGACGCGCGCGACATCTGTGTGGCGACCAAGTGGCGACTGTGGCGACACCTGGTGGCTGCTTTTCTGCTGTATGTAGGCATTGGGGTTTTGCCAGATGTGGTTCCTGCTGCTACACCACTATGTTGACCCAATACTAGAAAAGTTATTTTGCTAGTAAAAGGCAAGCAAATTGAAAGTTGATTTATAAAATTGCTTATAAATGATTACGAGATAATAATAAAGAAATTTTGATTGAATAATTATTTAAATAATCAACCGTGAAACTATATTCTGGTAGGTTTAGTAGAAATAAGTCCGTGCAACCTTGTATTTAGGGCCTTGGACGGCACCTGGGGCGTGGACGTCCCAGTCGCGCTCACCAGCCTTGGTGAGCTGAGTGCACTGGACCTGGACGAGGTGCTGGGCGCCCCTACTGCGACCGCCATGGAAGACCCTGCCGCCGTCACTGCGGCCGCCCGCGCCGCGGGCACCAGCCGCGGTGCACCGGGGCGGCCCCGCCGGCGTCGTGCGACCGGACCGCCAGCCGCCCTCCGGCGAGGCCCCGTGCCAGCGACGCCACCACCGTTGCACGGTGCCTCCGTGCACCTGGGAGACCGCGCTGGGAGACCTGCCGCGACACTTCCGGGACGTGCACCCACACATAGGCGTAGGAACAGGGGGGGCCGGGGGGGCCATGGCCCCCCCCCCACTTTCAGGAGTGGGGGGGCCAGCAATGTTAACTGGCCCCCCCACTTTTTGGCGAACTTATAAGTGTCTTTTTACCACCCTGAACACCAAAACTTGACGCTTCTCCAGTTTGCACTTCCATGAAGATTTCTAGATATTGAGGGCATCGTTACTGAGTGCAAATTTCCTCCACTCAATGAAGGGAAACTTTAGCAGAAGCAAAAAGTGGCAGCTCAGAGGCAGCGCGAGCGCTAGGGAGGGAGACAATACTGGCGCAGCAGAATGCGTAAACAGTGGTGTAAACAAACGACTTACTCAAGATTTACTTGCGTTCGACGCGTTCGACACTCGGTTACTACTACTGGTGTAGGTGTAATGTGTCTTGTTTTTATTATAATTTAGATCGTAGTCGAACATGGACATAACCAAGTATTTCAAGAAACAGCCAAAGGTATGCACCGTCCTACGCACTGCGACTGCTAGAAGTTAATTAGGTACTGTCCCGCTGATTTAAAACGTCTGATATTTCTGGTAGAAGACTAGAGTGACTTCAGCCGAATGCGGCTGGACTTCAAGGGTTTGTATGTTAATAAATAAAAATGGTAAAATTGACCTGATAGGGTAAAGAGCCAGTTCGATCTCCCACGGTGAGGGTGGACTGTTTTTTATGCATGTTGCCAGCAAAACAGATCGTAAATCAATTGTTATGCGTTAGCAAAAAGTCGGCAAACTTGTTGAAAGATAAATCAGCTAAAATTTTGTTGTTTAGAAGACTTGTTCATTCTATAGGCACAAGCACCTCTACTGCCGAACCCATAGCTTTTAGCTTTGACTGCAGTCAGAGTAGTCATGTCTAGTGTCTACCCAGAATTGGTACGGTACTATTGTCATAGTCGTCATAATTAACAATTATGTCATCCAATCTGGTCCTGTTCTGGTTTCCACCCCGAGCCTGCTGGCGATCATATAGCACCTCCGGCTAACTGCCAATCCTGTTGTCTGATCATTCCAGTCTGGTCCCACTCCGGCTCCAGACCAAACCGCGTCTTCCTCGGAGAGTGCCTCCGGCCACGGCGATGGCGCCGATGCGGAACCAACGGATTCGTCGGCTCCTGCCTGTAAGACCAAATCATCCATCCACACTACTTTTCATGTACCTATGCTCTTTTGCTTTCTATGTACTTGAATGACCAAGACAAAGACAAATGTGGAATGTTTTATTACATATCAGGGATACGTCTCGATACGTATCACTAATAGGTACCTACGGTTCGCGGACAAAATTACGTATCACTTGAGTACTTCAGAACGTACGTAGGAAAGTACGTACGCAAATGTTTATGAGATTTACGTAGGCAACGAAGCACGTAAGGACAAAAATACGTACATATCTACCTACGGCTGAAAACAGGCCTAACCTGACTCATCTAACCTGTGGCTAACCTTGCCAAAACTAAACTAAACGCTAACCCCAACTTTATGTATACCCTTACATACATCAACGATAGGTATACGTACTTTAACCATTCTGACTTTTGCTTAAGTACATTTGTCGCGCGTTCTCTCGCGATATGTTCATACTTTTGTCCACAACCCGCGCACGGCTATGAAATACTAGTGCCTCAAGCGGCAAATGACAACATTAATTATATATAGATGTCGCTGTAATCGAGCACTTTCATCGCCCGTAGCCGAGGCAATGAACACCCGTGAAGGCAAATGAGGGAAAATATGAAGTATCTAAAGAAGTGCTAAATATCCATATATGTGGTCCTTCTTTGCGTAAAGCCTCTCCCGTGTTGGCTTTTTCACAGTGCCTAACGGCAGGGGGTGGTCCGTTAGACCCCTGCCGCTCGGCCCAGAACTTGCGAAAAAAAACGAGCAGTGCTGCCCGAGACGAGAGGAAGCTTATAATATTGAAATATAAGGTCCTAGGTCATTGTTTGGTCTTCCAGGTCAAGTCAATTGATCAAAAAGTCGGGAAAATCGGGACTTACCAGAACTTCGTAAATTGAGGTTACCATGGGTTTTCTTTTCGGGGTCCTGATCACGAGTTATCAATTATATGTTAGTTTTGATCACAAATAACGTATTCATGCATTTGGGGCTGGTCGGGTCAGGTCAGGTCGGGTCAGGTCAGGTCAGGTCAACCAGTTATATAACCGAGAATTACAGTTAGATGATTAACGTGCATAAAATGAGAAAATAAAATCCGTGTCTTGTTACGAAGCAATGAAATAAAACGCAAGTTGTTTGCATGTTGCGGAAAAGATAAAAACTGAAAAAGGCTACTTGCAATTCATCAAAACAAAGAAGCCTCGTAACAACAAGAATAACAACCAATGTGCCATATACACAAGATACGTCCAACTTTCGACGATTCTTCTTTCAGCCGCGATCTGCTCCTCTACCTGCTGCTCCTCGCCCCAGCCCAACCAGCCGCGCGATGCGGCCACGCTCGCTAAAACGGCGCGCTCTCAGGGTGGCCGCTCGCGCACTGTGTGCCCTGAGTGGTACAAGAAGTACTCATGGCTGAGTGTGTGCTCGACCGGCAAAGTGTTCTGCCATACGTGCGTGGCGATGGCACGCCAGGGAAAGCTCACGATGAGCAAGAGCAAGGAAGCTGCCTTCGTAAGTGATGGTTTCTCCAACTGGAAAAAGGCCATGGCAGCGTTCCAACAGCATGAGGCCTCGCTGACCCACCGTGAAGCCTGCACGAAGAAGGCGGCGGAGAAAACAGAGCCGATCAGCGCTCGCCTGGTGACCCAAACTGCCGCCCAGCACGCCAAGCGGAGGATGTGCCTGAAGAAGGAGATCGAGTCCCTCATCTTTCTTCTTCGGCAAAACCTGCCAATCAGGGGCAAGAAAGAAGAGGAAGGGAACCTACACCAGCTCCTCGCGCTGCGGCAGAGGGATGTCCCCGATCTGCGGACGTGGGAGAGCTATAACTCACCTGTCATCCAAAACGAGCTGATCCGCGCAATCGGCCACAGTCTCCTCCGCGGCCTCCTGACTGACATCCGAGCAGCCAGCTTCTTTGCCGTCATGGCCGACGAGACGACGGATGCCGCCAGGGAAGAGCAGCTCAGCCTCTCCATTCGCTGGGTCGACAGCGACCTGATCATCCACGAGGACCCAGTGGAGTTCATCCAGGTAGCCGAGACGACCGGAGATGCTCTGGCGGCGGCACTCAAGGACGCCCTGCTGCGGATGCAGCTGCCGTTGGCAGCCTGCCGCGGCCAAGCCTATGACGGCGCCGCAAACATGCAGGGGCGACTCAGGGGTGTGGCGACGAGGCTACAGCAAGAGTGTCCGTCCGCCCTCCACGTGCACTGCTTGGCACACTGTGTAAACCTGGTGCTGCAGGAGGCATCGCGGCAGCAAAAGATCGTGCGGGACGCTCTTGACGTTGCCAACAGCGCCACCACCTTTGTTAGAAACTCACCGAAGACGACAGAGGTCCTGCGCGTGATGGCCCAGCAAGCTGGTTCGGCAGGGACGTCGCTGCGGCCGCTTTGTCCAACAAGGTGGACATGCCGCACCGCGTGCCTGCAGAGCGTGCTGGGCAACTACACGGCCCTCCTGGACACGTTCGAGAAGGTCAACAGCTCGGCTAGTGATGACCACTCCCAGCGGGCAGGCGGAATTAAGGCCGTCATGGAAAAGTTCGGCACTGTGCTGGGGCTGCACATCTCCGTGGCGGTCTTCTCCGTGGCTGAAGGTCTGTCCCGCGGCCTCCAGTCTGCCACGGCGACAGCGCAACAGGCTACACAGGCGGCTCAGCGCGTCCGTCTGCAGTTCCGCCGCATGCGAACAGAGGAGGAGTTCGACGCCATCTACCAGGCGGCCAAAGCGATGGCAGATGATGAAGATCGTGTGGAAGAGCCTACACTCCCGCGGAAACGGAAGGTCCCAAAGCGGCTGGGCGGAGGGGGCGAGCATCACGATGCAGACCCGACGGCCTTCTACCGCCGTCAGTTCTTCGAGCTGTTGGACCTGCTGGACACGCAGCTGGAGGAGCGGTTCAACCAGCCGTCAATGAACAAAGTCGGTGAAGTCGAGCGGCTGCTGGAAGACGCGGCCGCGGGAAAGACGTGCGCGGTGCCGGATGCCGTGAAAGAACTGCACGGCAGGGATGTGGACGTGAAGCGGCTGGAGGTGCAGCTGAAGATGCTGCCGGACATCATGTCTCAGGCGACCAGTGACGCTTCTGTCGCTGAGACCAGCAACTCATCGGTCATCAGCGTGCACTCCGTGTGCCAGGCGCTGCAAAAGGCCAAGACGACTGGCGGTGAAGTCTTCTGTCTGATGATGAATGAAGTCCTGACACTGATGAGGCTCTACCTGACATTGCCGGTGACCACAGCTACGTCTGAGAGGTCGTTCTCGACCCTCCGTCGGACGAAGACATTCCTCCGCACCACGATGGGCCAGGCGCGGCTGAATGCAGCGCTGCTGGCTACCATTCACCGCCATCGAACAGACCAACTCGACGTCGACGCCATCCTCGACGAGTTCGTCTCGGCCAACGAGCGCCGCCGGCTCTTCTTTGGCAAGCAGTAGCCGGCGCCGCCGTCCGTGTCGAGTCCGACAGTAATCTGCCAAGGTGACCGTGCGCCAGTTAGGCTGCCGCCGCAGCGTACTAAGCGTCTGCAAGTTATTGTGTGTCCTGTTCTGTCCCGTTTAAGTCAACTCATTCGATTGCCGACAGTTTACTTGCTACTGTCCTGTGAAGTTATCGGTGTTGATAATACATATATGCTTGCGTCAGAATGCCTTCTGTGGACCGCGGCCACAAGACTGGCGGGTTTATATTCTCGATAGTTATCACTTTGGTATTCTGTGACAAAATGTCAACAAAAGGAAGAGTATAAGAGAAACCAGAAATAAATCTGCAACATTGGTTTCAGGATAAAAATCCGGTGCAATTTATCCGCTGACTGGCGTTAGTTGTACCTAGATCAAGTTCTTTCTTAGTAGAAGTTTTTTTTTTTTTGCAACTGCTGATCTTGTCCAGTGTCCACGACTTCCTCAGACTATTTGATATTAGGTATGTTTTGTTTGTGATGTTTGACTTTTTCCTTGCCTGAAAACCTACATACTCGTATGATAAAATTGATGTCACCACCGAGTTCTACGTATAAAACTATATTTTGACCATGTAACGTGCCGCCGCTGCAAACTTAGATCTTTGGGGATACGTATTAATGTTTGCCAGTGCTCTGGCGAGGAACATGATTGATACAATTATATGAAAGAAAAACATTGACCTTTTTCCTCGAATCTATAGCAAAATTAATGAAAAGTTACCTTTTTATTTACGTGATATTTCGGCCAACAGACCATTATCAAACGAAAGAAAGAACAAAGAACATTGTTCTTTCTTTCCTTTGATAATGGTCTGTTGGCCGAAATATAACGTAAATAAAAAGGTAACTTTTCATTAATTTTGCTATAGATTCGAGGAAAAAGGTCAATGTATTTCTTTCATATAATTGTACTTTGGGGATACGTTTTTACCTGTTTTGTTTGACCTGGCCCTGACCCTGACCTATGCCTAAATGATCCCTGCATGAATTTAGTACCGCGATGAAAGCTTCTACACAATCTTTACCATATTTAATGACGAGAGACGTCCAACACGATGTCGGATGTTCCAACGTCCATTTACCCAATTTACGGTGTTTGACCGTACCTTGAACCGACCCGTGACCTCCAAATCAAACTTTAAATTACACATCGTAAGAGTGTCATCGCGAGTTTTCGTTTGCCGCCTCGCGCGTTTCGCTGCGCCTATATTGGCTCACGAGCTATCGAGGCTGGGGGCATTTAACGCCCCGCCCTTCCCAGCAAGTTGCGAGTGGTCCTTGGCAGCTGTCGGGTTAACATAACGTCACCAAGGGACGCGACCCAATAATATGCGAAGTCAAATGAATGAAGCATGCACCAGTACACATGGTGATTGATTGCAATAAAAAATACCTTATTCGCTTCAGAAGAATTTCGATGCTATGAGCCCTATGCCGTACAATGTGCATGTTAAGGCCCGATTAATGTGAGCTCCGATGCATACCTTAGGTATACGTATCTTTTTGTGACCTTATCTTGTCGGACCCTTCTGCCCCCCCCCCCGACACACATTTGAAAATGTTCCTTCGCTTATGCAGGAGTCTCCCTGAAATTTGACCAGTTTATTTTTGTCTCGTTTTTTCCTCTTCGGACATCTTTGTGAAAATAGTGATCGAAATCCGAGGAGAAAATGGGTTTTGGGATAGCGTGAGGTTTGGCCTCAATGCTCGCACCTATGCCTGTGGGAGCCTGTCTGCCCCCCCCCCCCCCACAAACACACACTTTCAAAAACGTTCCTAAGCCTATGGTGCCGACGGCTGCAAAGTACAGGGGGACGCTCCTATTCGTTTTGGTTTCTGGACGGGGCCTCCCTGAGATTTTGACCAATTTTTTTTGTCTCGATTTTGTTTTTACCTCTTCGAGCATGATTGAGAAAATAATGTGGCCGAAATCCGAGGAGAAAATGGGTTTTGGGGGTAGGTTAGGTTTTGGGCCTCTGGGAGCCTGGCCCCCCCCCACTTTTAAAAACGTTCCTACGCCTATGCACCCACACGTAAGTAGAAACACAGTGTATCATACTAGGGCCACTATTTGTTCGATAGAAACTGCAAGCTGCATTATGTGTAGTGTCCTATCTGGCTAATCTAGATTTGATTCTTTCAAAAAATTATGGTGTGCAATTACCTTTCAGTTTGCCCCACCGGCAGTTTGTCGTTCGTTTTAAATTTTCGTTTTTCTTTGCAGCTGGACGCCCTTGCAGAGTCTCGGCGGCTCCGTCTTCAGCAAAACCAGGAAGGTAATTAATTATATTATATGTAAATGCCGAACAGTCATTTGCAAGTGGTTAGTGCGAAAGAAGGCTCGTCACGTGAGACATCCATATAAATTTGAATTTGGGTTACCAATATTATCTACGTCTTTTTACTGTTTTTCGAATTTTAAGTTTAGTTAGACTTATCTTTGTTTAAGTTGAATAAGAAACGATAAGAAACGGACGAACGAACTGAACTGAACATAACGAAAGAAACGAAACGAAAAATCAAGATCGTACGAAACTACGAACTGTCAAGTTATGTCAAGTGCGCTTTTGGACGTGGCTTAATTTATCGTGACCTAGTTAGGTTTCATAAGGTATTACCTACTTAAATTTCAGCCTTGTCTGTCCGAAACCTTTGTTACCAGCAATACAGTATTTTCATATTGTTTTTGATTGCGGTGTTGACAATTAGGACAAGAGCTGAAACAGTAACAAAGGTTCGTTTCGACGTTCGAAGTAAGGGTAACGTAAAGTAGTTGTAACCGGTAACTGTAAACTCGAACCTACCAGGTCCTAAAGTAATTAAATTATGTCTGGAAGATCACGAAGTGTTAGTAGCTGTGGCAGTGAAGGGGAGGTGGACCATTTATCTGTCTCCTCCCAATCGTACGCAAATTCTGAACGCATTCGTGAAGCTGCCATAAGGGCGGGCTTGGCGGCCAAGCTGGCAGTTATGGAAGAACTGCATGCTCTCGAAGACGCCGAAACCAAAATTAGACAGCGAAAAGAGGAAATGGAACTTAAGCTGCAGTTAGAACAAGCCAGGGCGAAGGAAGGGATTTTTGAATTATTCAGTCGAAAGAAGTACGACGAAAATCTAATGACGAACGAACGAAACGATTACGATGATCGAGGCGGACTTTCTACGAAACCGACTGAAATAAAAACCGAATTCCAACCAGCCGAACCGAATCTACACGAAAACCCCACTGCGAGACAAGGTCCATCCATAGAGAGGTCAAGTATCGAGCTGGTCAGAAAGATGCAACTGCCTACATTACAGCTCCAGCCGTTTAACGGGGACCCTACTCTATACACCAACTTTATACGGGGATTTGATGCCAAAATTGCTTGTAGAGTTGAAGATGAAGAAGAAAAATTGTATTATTTAGATCAGTACACAATTGGGAAGCCAAAGGACATTGTTTCGTCCTGTTTGTATATGCCGCCCGGGGAAGGCTATGCTGAAGCGCGACGACTCCTTCAAGAGCGCTACGGAAATGTTGTTCAAACGGTGGCTTATATGATCGAAAAAATTGTTTTGTGGCCATCTATCAGATCCGAAACCGATGATTTAGACAAGTTTGTGATATTTCTGAGAGGCACTTGGAATGCGTTGAAGGCTATGCCACAAGGGATTAACGAAATCGATTCGAAAACGATACGAACGATTTTAGATAAACTGAACCCGTCGATAAAGGATCGTTGGCGGCGTCTGGTCGACCGAATCGAATACGAAGAAACCCGCATCGCGACCTTTGCCGACCTGGTAAAATTATTAGAACGAGAAGTACGAATCAATATGAATCCATCTTACGGTCAACAATTTGATAGTCAGATGTATGCTTCGTTGGCAGCATCCTCTTCGTCGGCTTTACCCTCTCACTCCGGAACAAGACCTCTTGATAGCCTTAAATCCACAGTTTCAGCCGGTGGATGCGAGGTATGTGCGCAAGAACATCCGATTCATGAGTGTCCGGAGTTTTTGCGCTGGGAGCCAGATGAACGGAAGAACTTTATAATGAAACAAGGGCTTTGCTTTGGGTGTCTAGGCAAAGGGCACATTAGTAAAAATTGTCGCAATCGCCAAACATGTCGCATTTGTCAGGGAAAGCATCCTACGGTTCTACACATCCAAAAGGATTCCCGAGAAGTAAAGCCAAGCGCTATTACATCATGTCATTTGTCGGCAGATCAGTTATGTCACATGGGAGCTAAATTGCCGATCGTTTCTGTATTGGTGAAATTTGGAAATAAGGAATTACGGACAAGCGCCTTTCTCGACTCGGGAAGTACACATTCATTCTGTTCGGGGAAACTTTTCGAACAATTGGGTGTTGTGAGGAGGAATCGCATCGCTTTAAATCTTACCACCGTGGATCGTGAACGCCAACTTGAAGGATACGTAGTTCAAGGATTACGCATGACCAATGAAGACCGCAGTTATCCTGTAGACCTCCCCCCATTGTTTACATTGGACCATATTCCAGTGTCGGAAGATGACGTCGTCCAAGTTAATGATTTAAGTTCGTGGGACTATTTGGCGCAGAGTGACATCACACTGTACGATGGCAAAACTGAAGTTGGTTTACTACTCGGCAATGATTGTGGGTATGCCATGGAGCCTCTGGAAGTTATACCGAGTAAAAATGGAGGGCCCTACGCCATTCGTACTAGGTATGGATGGATCGTTGGTGGAGCACGGAAGCAGAGACCATCGGTGAGGGTCAGTAATATACTGGTGAGGAACGTAATGAATGGACAAGAGATAAGAGATAATTTAGCAGACTCTCGGACGGCATCATCTGTGGAGGACGGGCTTTGGCTAAAAAAGGTGGCTACAACATGCCGGCGGCGTGAAGGTAGATACGAGATCGGCCTCCCATTCAGTAGCGACAAGCCGATGCTTTCAAATAATTACGGGGTAGCACGGAAGAGGCTCGAGACTCTGAAGACT